TCTGTGCTATCTGAACTGAAAGATATACAGAATCTCTCAGAGAGTTTACTTGAAGTAGTAAGAAAAGCAGCTGAAACTGCTGAATCAGAAGTGAAACTTCATATATACATAAGAATTCTAAACAAGATTAAGGTCTTGCATACATAGTGACAGACTAAGATAAAAGTTAAGCAATAATTAATATTTACTGTAGATTAAGTATTTACTATAAAGAGCTTCACTGATGCAATTATCACTGTTAATAAGAATAGAGAAAATCAGGTTATAAATCTGCAGTGAGAAATTAAATATTTATATAGATAGATAATTACACTGAATCTGAAGATTTTATTATAATTATTCACAATCTCTTTAGAAGTGTATACATTATCTAGAACTGTTGTATAGAATGAGAATCTGAGTATAAAATATATTAAGCTAAGAGATCTGCTGAAGTTATTAAGCTTTAATAATAACTGAAAAAATAATACTGTAATCAGCTGACTAAGTCAGATATAATCATATTATCAGATTAAATATAAACCTATAGACAGATAGTTAACAGAATTTTAACAAGTCTTAAGATCTACTGTATTTCTACATGAAAAAGTAAAGTTATTATAAATAATTAGTAAAAAGATGAATCTTACAGATCTAAAGTGATATTTATTTTTATAAACATGAAATAAGTTTTTTAAATGAATCTTATATAACTTTGAGAAAGTAAATACATGAGATAAGTGTTATATACTTCACTAAGTATAGATAAGTGAGTAATCTTATATTATACTTTATATACTTCAGCTTATATTATCTTACATTGAATAAAGAGCTTTTAACATCTTTCTGTTTACAGATCTTCATTTATAATCTTACATCTGAGTTGAGAGCAGAATGAAAATGCTTAATCTTGTAATCAGATACAGTGAAAGAAGTATATAATATTCTCATTATATGAAAATAAGCAAGTTAATTATAACAGAAAATACTGCAATTGAGTATACTTTAATAAAGAATGAGTAATCAGACTTCTATAATATAAGTTATATACTCAGACACAATGAATCTAGATTTGAATATTATCACTAAAGTATTAAATTCTCTGAAAAAGAAATTCTCTGAGTGAAAACCTTAATATTACAAGTATTAAGCTTGCTTCAACTGTGAATGTCAGAATCATAGTGTAAAGAATTACACATAGTGTACACAGTCAAGAGAAGTAAGAGAGTTAAAAAACTAGCAGAATCAGTGAGCTCAGAGACACTCACTGATATTCTATAAAAAGTCTTCAATATAAAAGAAATGCTCATGTTACATGACTCACTAAACTCTACAAATATAAAGAGAAAGCAGGCTTCTAACTGAGATACAGATAAGAATGAAGTAGACACTCATTTCAATACCTTGAGACCTGAAATGTTAATATATAAAGAGCACTTAAGTAAGAATTAAGAGATGACTGTAAAAGTAGTAGCAGACACAGAAGTCTCTATATAATATATTAATAATTATATAATCTGAAGACTGAAAGAGATCTGTTAAGTGAAGAATCTCTGATATATAAGATTATCTAATAATTAATATTTAATATTATCTGTAAGAGTAAGAGTTTTCTTATACTTCAGAAAATGATCTTGCTATATTTAGATATGAGAGCTGCAGAATGTGAAATATAACCTTATTTTCAGACTTAATTAGTTTCAAAGATTTACTCTAGAGATTCAATAATGTATATATTATATACAGTTAACTGATAGAAGGAAAATAATTCATACAATTCTATTAACTGATATAAGAAGAACATTTCACATCTCTGATATAGAAGAGTTAAATCTGCTTATATATTAATAAGTAAAGAGAATAATTTATAAGATCTCATCTGAAAGCACTCTATATATGATACAGAACTCAGAAGCAGAGAAAACCAAGATAAAGAATATATGAAAGAATAAGTGTATGAAGAAACTTCTAAAGAAGTATAAAAAGATCTTCTAAACAGATCTTTTATCAGAATTGTTGCTGAAACAAGAATTTGTACATGAGATTGATATGAGAGATGTGAAATCAGTCAATTAAAATGCATACTCTCTGTTACAAACATATCTTGAAGAACAGAAGTGTCAGATTACAGACCTTCTAGAATATAATCTTATATAACTCTCATCAAGTGTATGAGACTTTCTAGTTCTATTTATAAAAAAGATGAGTGAGAAGTGA